TAAATTATTACTGACGATTGGGAACGATTTCGCAGCTTGTTTTATAGCATAGCATTCTGAGATTCAACCACGTCTGCCGGCTAGCTAATAAATGTGGGTTCCTTTATCAGCGGTCACATGGTACGCGTCCTCGCCCTTGGTGACATACAAGCTTACTTGTACAACGAGAATGTAAATCTCGCTTCTATGTTTATACCTGATGCCTACATCTGTTTTCCTGCTCATTAGATGCTTATGACTACCTTCCGTAGCTAAGTCTGACAACGGAATTCATCTAGAATCTCTACATTGAAAAATAAATAATTTCATCGACTTGAAGTTCAGTAGAAGTCAGTACAACTTAATCACTTATGCAAGTCTAATTTGATGTCACTCCCGATTTTTAAATGTCTTCTTGAAAATGTTATGTTAGTTCCACACGTTATTGAGGAACCGGCGTCAAGTTTAATTTTAACTGGCAAGTGATACGAATCTGTGGGGTCAAAGGTAATCATTTTATCATGACAACATTGGTAAAAACTCTGCGTCTTGTCATTCCGTCTCACTCGTTCTACTTTATATAGACAGAGTGAGGAACATCAAATTCTAAGTGTTGCCGCTTGCCGCCGCCCACTCGCAAGTAATGTGGTAGTATATTGCCGACTTGCGTTGCGTCTGTGTGAGTGCGTGTGTGGATGTGTGTATACAGAAGGTAACTGTTGTCCACAGTAAATATTGTCCCCATATAATGGTTTTATTACTATAATATGTTTGTGTTAGTTAACTGCTTTGTAGAGCCTCCATTTCATTCTGTTTTTATTTACAAAACTATTATTACAACGAAATATTTAATCAAATCCTCTAATTGAATTCATCTAATCTTCAAAAATACATAAATTTCTGAAACTATAAATGGTTTGTCAGCACAAAATTCTCCGTCCTTGACATTCTAAAGATACTTCCTACCTATAACCACTAAATACCTTACGAGAAGAAAAAATAAGGTTAGGCGCTTAGCAACAGCCGTGTGACATAAGTTCAACACGCGCAATCCATAATAATGCTGACGTTCGCGGATGTAGACAGTGGCGACCACACCACACACGGTATACACGCACCGCGGCCGCGTCAATAACTATGCCGTTATTCTTTGCCGAAATTCTAGCAAACAGCCGGTATGCTCGCAAGTCGCCAGCTTTAGGATTTCTGACACTGTTTACAAACACGCTTATTTTTAGGGGACTATTTCTGTTAAGCAAACTGTGCCATTGTTTCAATCAAACGATCAGCGCAATCATTGACTAGTTGATTCCCAGGTAAATGAAATAGTTACCCAAAAACAAAACGCATCTAGTGACGTCACACGCCAAAAATGCAGTAGCGAAGTGCACGGCCGGGGGCGGTCGCACGCGCAGCGCACCGTCACATCATCCTCGATTGTTTACCCCGCTAGTAACGTAACCGCGCGTTGTTGCCGCTCCGCGTCTCGCCTCCTCTCACTTTCGCGATTGCCGCTGTCTTGCTTGCGTCTCATACATCCGTCCCGCTTACTCGACTAGCGGTGCTCGACTTTTTTGGACATGCAGTTTTTTCCGTTCTAGGTTATGATCGCTTTGCGGGATCATTGTTTTACAGAGCTCTTTATAAAAACAAATAAACTTTATTTATTGTAAAACAATATAATCTAGTATCTACAACAAAAACATTCTATACCTATTGATAAAATCATTCAATCAATTATTATTGAATAAAGCTAATACATACATGATTGTGTGTGTGCTTAAACCGAAGTGCTTATTCCTGAATATGCTAATAATGCAAACGATTTCAATGGAAAGACAAACCGACTTAAATTAATTGTTTGAGTGGGCGAAAATATAACCGAATGGAAGCATTACACACATGTATTCGTTTACCCCACAATACACTCTAATGTCCGATTGCAGACATTACTAAAATCTGAAACATTTTTTAAGGAATGGCAAGTAACCAGGGAATAGCAAAAATAAATGGACCGGACATTAAAACCGTGCCCTCGTTTGACTTTAACTCTTCAAAAGCCTGCATATAGTGACGTAATACAGCTTCTGTATCTGTTACAGTCGCTGTTTTCCGGTAAAGCTATGGCTTTCGACCAGCTTCATCCGGAGTGTTATCGTCAAGCTAGTCGTCCATCCGGCGCTCGTTTCGCATTTTAAATTCAAATAACCACAGATTCTACCCGACAAACTTGCTCTAGCCAGTTCAGTATGCTCTTTGTCGAGGAATATTTTTGCGTATTATCCACAAAGCGATTTAGTCAGAGCTCCACAAGATACTGCATCTTTTGAATTTTCATTGTGATCCATTGACCTGAGTGTGGGTGTATTGGAAATACATTAGCGTCTCGTTTACACCATGTTTTATTGATGAGTTCCTTTGCTCACTTACTCGTGCATACATTAGGAGTACTTACTCGATTGCTTTTAGCTTTTGTTGCTAACATTATACCTAATGTTTAAAATTGTGGATGGCATTATGACATGATTTCTTAAGTATATTTCTGCATTTTAGTGTTAATTAATTAAACGGATATATATAAATTAATGTAAAACGAAGACAAGTCGTCACGTAGCACAATAGAAAGTGAAGCGGGCTGCGCGGGCGCATCGGGCGCGTTAGAAAGCGGCCATTGCCGGCCGGCCCCGGCGCCGCCCGAACGAACATTCACGACACCGAGCTTGACGCATTCCTCCGTACATATGTACTCAAGAATGCTATCCAACTACTTATTGTGCACAGCTTTTCAATAAAGCTAAAGGTATAATGGATTGAAATATTGCTCTTGAACTAATGCTGTATTAACAGCTTCATTCAAACGATAAAGCGATTTAATCTCTGTCAACGTTTATAGACGCCTATTATATTTCAATAAAATACTAATTGCCTTGGCTAATAAAATTGTAATAAAACTTCCGCGGTACCGCACGCCATAAACGGCTAACTTGTATTATTTTATATCTAAACATCGTTTAATACGCTTGTTTTAAGTATCGAACAATAACCCCTCATTTAGAAGTTAACGCTAAACTCGTTTGGAGTTACATAGTCCTCCCCTTATCGCTTTAGGTCGATGCGACCCCACGCGACACGTCTGCCAGGTGCGCTTAGCCCCTTCCGCCGCAGATGCGCGTATCGTGAAAATTGTACAATGAACTCTTGAATTTATTTAATTAATAACTTAATAACATGATTTTATTGTTTCTTAACAGGAAAAATATACCCAATAAAAATATTTAGAAATCAAATCAGGCCATAATGGTCTACGAAAATAATTGCGATAAGCATCAATCCGCGAACACCAGTAGCCAAAAAAAACAGATAGCCTCTTATTTACATTAAAAACAAATATCAGTTTACGTAATGACTTATATTTACGTTCAACTTACTGCCCATTAAAACTGAACCAAGTTTACTGTGTGTCGTTTTATGTTTATTTAAATGACCAGAAACTGAGTGCCTCCGACCGCGAGCGGTAAAGGGTTGGAAGCTTTCGGGAAGCAATGTGTTTAAACAATTAACATATTTGTTTACATTTGAGGCTACCTACATTTAAGTTTCGGCCCTTGCTATGAGAACTTCTTTTTAATATAACTTTTAAAACTTCAAAGTTCCTTATTTGCAATGATCGGACTTGCTTTTCCTCAAACTTGTTCCAAAAATCTTAAGGACAACATAATAACGAAAGTGAAAACTTACAACGATGTTGAAAAACATAGGAGCGCTAAAGACGGCCAGTGTCCAGTGAGGGTCGATGGGTGTTTGACCCGATAAAATATTTGCATACCCAAGGTCGCAACACCACCTGCCGCTTGTACTCACACTTAGCCGTGCAATTGACGCTCACTAATGGCGCTGTGAATGGGAAACTAATTGGATACTTGCTCATTTTAGGGTTAGGTGAGAAAAATAGTTTACAGTCTTACGATGAATTAAACATTAAATTAAAATGTAACCGATTACGTGGAATCGTACTGTAATCCAACCAGTATATTCTCAACTCTCGAATTGTTGTCACTTTTTGACCACTTGTTAAGCATATCAGTATAACTATAAAGAATCAACGCAGAAAATAATTCAATAATCGGAAAGGCATGCTTTTTATAAATATTTCCAAATCAAACAAAAGAGAAAAGCGAAAGTATCTCGTTATGTTCATCGCCAATATTCTGAATTTTATTTACATACAATATTGTTATTTGTTTTAAAATATCCCCGTGCGGTCGCGAGGGTTACAGATGATGTCGATTAATAAACTTAAATATTATGCGTATATTATCAACATGAATTGCCCAATGAATGTTTATTATAACAGTATTTATGAAAGGTTTTTACCCATAATAGCGGACACAGGTGCCGCGGATGCTTCTCGGAGCCTTTTAACAAAATTGTCATGTTCATAAAATGTGTTTAATAATAATCGCATTGACGCTAGATTGTCTCTCTTACAACTTTATCGAACGCGCACGATGCACACGTTTCGTGAATTGAAAACAATCCTGTAATATCTAAGTATTATTATATGCTGTCTCGGTCTAAGTCCCATCCAAAAACTTCCAGAGAAATCGTGAGTTTTTCAACTTGCAATTCACCGCTGGTTAGGCCCAAGGCTTCCGGGTGCGCCGCAGAATACCTCTGATCTTGCACCTCTGTCCCCCTGGACTCTTGCCAGATACAATTTTAGAACAATTTCGAGGTCTCTGTACAGTTTTCGTCCTGATTATGCGGGCGATTAATTCGGTCCATGTTGGCAGGTTTGGCGTCGTTGTGGACTTCTTATTGTTTTCGCACCGTTTCAATGTTTTGTTTACAAACTCTGGTCTGTATTGGCACGTGGATAGTATTAATTGTTATACGTTACTGCAGTTTATTAATATCATCTTCAAGATTGTATGTGTATTGTCCCAATATGTTCCAAATACCAAAATAAATCTTTAAAGACTTGGTTGAAAAGACTGATGATTATCCTTCTTTTTTTTCAGACGGAGCTCTATGGCATAAAATGGCGTAAGCTCGTATGGGGGGAGACGAATGGCGGCGGAGACGGGGAGGAGGGTGGTGCGCCGCTGGCTGACCCTGTGATCAGCAGCTATGCGCGCTGCCTAGCTGGCGACATCCTGTGCGTGTGGCGGCGAGTGCCAGCGCCGCCACCGCCCGACAATATCTATGAGATGAGCACGCCCGTCCCGCCGCCTCTCTCCCTCCGAGCCGCTAAAGAGCTATGGATTTTCTGGTATGGCGAAGAACCTGACCTCAATGGTCTCGTTGCACCGGAATTAATTGCAAGCCGTGAGTATTTGTTTATTTCTGTAGTGACTAAGTTTATAAGACTATTCGATGTAAGATAGAATTCGACAATCAATAAACATTAGCATTATCATGAAACATCAGTTAAGGTTTACATGTGTTTATAAATGTATCATGCAACACAACAACCATAATCAACGAGCACTACCGCATGATGTTCTTATCACTGAAATCTCAATTGTTAAACCTTGTTTACAATAATTCAATAAAATTAATGATACACAGTACCTTCTACATAAATGACAATATAAATACAAATTACACTGTGCGACATTAGACATTTTGAGTAGATTATCTTGCGAAGACAGGCGACACAATGGCTCAAGTTAAAAGCTCGTTAACCAAACCGAGAGACATTGTATCGCGACAATTAACAGAAAGATTAAGATCTCGCAACGTCAAGCCGACGACAATACAGAATTCAGGAAGGAACCAGTCTGGAAAGAACGGGCAAGTAATCAACGTAATGAACGATCCTTGCAAGTATACCCAGTGTTTTATGAACTCTAGAATAATTTTAATTGAAAAGTACTTCTCAATATAATATCTTGGTAGACACAATGTAGAACATTCTGAATATAGTATAGGTATTTGTCACAAGTTCTCAAACCAAGCTTTGTTATGAAATTCATACAAAAACAAAGACATAATATGCGAGACAGAATTTACGCACAATATTTCTGAAAACAATTTCAGTATTGTTTGCGTTTACCAGCAGTATTAGTATTCAGCTGATCTCATATTAAAATTCATTAGACACTCCAGAATACTGAAGTGACTTCAAATTCGCAACTCTGCAAGTTTACTTTCTTGATTACATTTTAAAACGTTAAGCCCTAAAGTCGTTGAAGGTTAAAAATCGGCTGTTTTTCAGAAGAGCGCTATCATAAAATTTCATTACATGGCCTGATGCTGGTAATCCTGCTGGAAATCTTCATTTATATTTTAGCGGTAGGTCTCGCCCATAAGCTCAAGCCTGCGCGGCCGCCCGCCCAATTTACGCCGAAACATGACCTCGATTTCGTCAGCCTTTTTAGTGGGCGGTTCTATGGGACACTTGCCCCTTTCATCTTAAGTAAATTCGTGATGCTTTGCTTTTCCTCGTGTAGTCTCGCTCTTTTGAGCTGCGTAATTTTTGTCCTATTTTTCATTTCTAAACAGTGCTTTACAAGCTTTTTCACTGGATGGTATATGGTCCATTCCATAATTATACTCATGCTAAACATATTGAAGTGTCATTTATGTTACTCTTCTTCAAGTTAATTTGTTATTGCAAAATGACTCTTCGTCATGGCATTTACAATTAATTAGTTGGAACCTTTAAAACTTGTAATACCCATTGTAATACAAATTAGGTAATAAACTAAACCACACTGGCATCCTAGAAACAGGAATATATCTCGAGTAGTTAATTTAATATGACTTAAGGTTGAATGGCAGTTTAATATTTCTGTTTGTTAGTGCATCTCATAATCTTCTTACAACATTGTTTTTCTAATATATTAATGCCAAAACAATCTTGGAAACGTTCAACCTCACGCTTTACTGAAAGTTGTTACAGGATAATTTCCCTGTAACTTATGCACTTGCTCAAAGTTCTTAAAGAAGAAGAGAGAAATCGCGTGTTCGTTCAATTGTTATAACATCTTCATCTAAAGGAATCGCAGAGTCGCAAACATCCTAAGATCATCTATCAAATATTTTTCGCAGAGCGATCTCATTCAACAGGTGGTTTTGTTTCACCTCGGGTTTCGTTTGGGGTAGGAATGACTTATTGCAGTCTCCAACGGTAAATTGAAACGATTCACATCTTAACTTGAACAAATTTTGTTCTCTCTTATGTATGTACGCTGAAAAAATCAATAAATTTGAGATTTTATCTCAAATTTATTGATTTTTTCAGCGTACATTCGCTTATGATATTTTGTGTGAAGTATATTATTGTCCTTGCGTAAACGTACTCATGAGCTTGATAACTTTATAATAATACTACAAAGATCATGGCGGTGTCATCCAATTGAAAATAGTCGTGAAATTACGTTTGCAAATGACTAACACACCATTACTGATCTTCGAACGTCCAAGTTTTCCTCCTGTTAGGTATTCTCGTTTGAATCGCGAACGGCGCGTGCGCACCAATCGGCGCGCCCTCTAGCGGGCAAGTTCACGCGCGACTGGTCGAATACTAAAATAGAACGTGACATAAATCTACATAAACGGTCTTTATTTTGGTCCCCGACCATTGTTTTGGTTTGCCGCTTATGATTATCCACACGATGACAACCTTTCTGTACCGATACCACTTAGTATAAAGTAATTTAAGTCGTTTTACTTGTGCCACATTGTAAACAAAGTTACGTTTACAAAGAATGAAATGAAAGAACACTACTGTTTTGAATGCCTTTTGTGTTAACTTTTTGGCCGTTGCTTATGATTTTATGTGGCTTTGTTCTACTTCTCCGAAAAATATTATTTAATGTTTTTACGAGTGATATTTCTGTACAGACATCGCTTTGTTTTAATTTACTATTGTATGTCAAAACTGATATAAAACATCCATCATCATCAGCCTGTTGTCGTCCACTGCTGGACATAGGCCTCCCCAATTGCACGCCACTTAGCTCGATGTTCAGCTCTTCTCATCCAACCACTTCCAGCCACCCTGCGGATGTCGTCAGTCCACCTAGCTGGAGGGCGCCTTACACTACGTTTGCCTATACGTGGTCTCCACTCTAGAACACGTTTACAAATATTTTATTCAACTAATCAGATTTCTTCGGTGGAAAAATCTATCTACAGCATTTGTGTTTTTCTTCAATTTTTCAATAAAAAGGATTCATATTTCTTAACAATCTATTGTTAAGTCTTCACCCACAGGTCATTGACACTACGGGTTTAATCAGTAGCAGTTTGATTTGTTTTATTATTATACATTTGCTAACTCTTTAGATTTCTAACTTTTCACGTCCTGCTTAATATTTTATCGAAAGTTATACAGATAATTAAAGAAATTATTAAGATTTGTAGTTCGCCAGAATGTGGCGAATAATGTAAAATGTCCTTCAGTATTGCCCAGTTGGACCTGATCAATATACACATGGACATGGCGAAGGTCAAGCTATGATTGTGTAATATGGCATTGACATTGTGCTTCCATAGAGTTTTTACAGCAGTAGTACTTTTTCCTTGTTTACTATTTAAACCGGTCTATTTGACTGTTACGGTAAATTGTCCTTTAATAGCGAGGCTTATTTGGGAACAGGAATTTTCAAAACAAGCTTTAATCCAAATGTATGGAATCCAATTTGAATAAGAATGCTGTTATTGTTACCTAGGTTTTTACGTTTAGTTCAATAAATAAATCAAATTATTCTTCGCAAAGGTTCGGTTTCTCGGCAGTCAAATTACGATGCTTGTACGGACAGTGGCAGCGGTCGCTAACTCAATTGTTTCAACCTTGCGATTCTATTAGTTAACATGCCACTCGATAGGTTGATAGCCGCATGTTAGATAAACAACAGATTATTGTTGTTTTCGCTACGCGGCCGCGCCAATGTCAAGGATTTTTCCTTTATTATTTTCAATATTGCTTGCTGGTTTTTCAAATTAAGATCTTTTTTTGCAGATTTGTCATGTGTTTACATTTTCAGTTGTTCCTATTTTGATTAATTTGTCTCCGATCAATCTTATCAAATTTATTTTCCTCAATCACCTTCCCATAAAAGTTAGTACCTACCCAGTTAAAGATCATTAACCTAAATTGTACTATAGGTACAACATAACACAATACACTAGTTTCGATCGGATGTACCACAAAGGCGTTAGTCGACAGGAAAAGTTGTGTAATATCGCACCTATGTGCTAAGTAGCAGTAAACGTGTTATCCGCTCGGTTACGACCCGCCCGATACAGATGTTAAAAACTGAATGACGCCATTTGAGACCGTGCCTCCACACTGTAACTACAAACCCTCCGCCAATCAATATCCAATTAAGTTCCCGTAAGGAGTGGAAATTCTATTGCTTACACAGAATTTTCTTCTTCCACTTACTACGGGTCCTACACTTATTTATTTACGTTTATCGTTGGGCTTCGAGGTAGAAGCGCCGAGACTTGCTACAAAATTTCCGCTGAACGAACTTTGCGACTCATTTCCTGAGTAAATGGTTGTCATTGCGTTCTTTTTACACGAGTACAATATAAGCAGTAAGAATATTGCCCGTTGTATTATCACAGTCCGTGTGTCGCAATTGAGCCGAGCGTGGGAAGCTTGTATTATCTGGTACCATTTCTATAGGGTTAAACAACATGTAACATGCTAATATGCAGTAATATACTGTATCAGCATCGGTCAAAGTCCTCTCACACGTGTCCTTGAGGTATTAAAGGAAGTGCTTTCAGATCGGCCTCACTGTCATGGCTACTGTGTGAGAGTACATCAGCATGGCATGTGGACGTCGCTTGTTGAAACGTTGCCAACAGTACTAAAGGGCTGATTACGCATCTTGGATGTGAATATCAATAAATTCAAATAATTGTGTCAATAAACATGCAAATAGACTGCTGATATTGACTCGATTTGTTTGAAAATACTTGTGTCAATAATTTTGTTCGTAGAAAATTTGTTCTATTTGGTAATTGACTCCAATATTATATGCATACAGTTGAAACCAAATTCACGGAATTAATACTGTCACAAATTTTACGTTAGATTTAACTTGGTTTGTCGTCGTATTCGCACATTGATGTCGAGTTATTTTGGAGTTGGAATACTCAAGGATCGTTCTAAATATAAGTCTTATTGCTACGATAAATCTCTCCCCGGTCACCCAGTTTCCGCTTATATGGAAACGGGTACCGCAAGGACGTCCCGGCGACGGCGACGTTAGACTTTATCATTATTTGTGTTCGTATTGTTCGCCGCTCAAATGTTGCGAAACTCGTCAAGTCTCATTATTCCTGATGTAAACTGTCCTTTTTAA